CCGATTTGGAGGTCCGCCATATGCTGCAGTGGAGGAGTATGGGGGAGTGAACGTGCTCGGCGGCGTGGAAAACACGGAGGCAGCACCGTCAAGGGCTACTCAGGACGGAGGCAAGAAGAAAAGACCGGCGGAATAGGCGAAGAAGTGATGTATTTAAAGAACAGGTATTTAAAGACTGGAAATGTAAAAGACTGGAAAAGAAAATATATGAAGTAAATGACTGATTTGTATGATCTGAGTCCGTCCTTTTTTTCTGGGGGCTGCCCTGCTATTTATACTCGTCAGTGATGACCTTCGAACTGCACTTCGAACCGTCGAACTGCTCCTCCATGATCGCTAATCGTGCTTCCTTACAAGTAGCTCCATTACGCCATTACTGGCAGTTGAGCTTCTCTCTTGTACTTGAATTTGAATATGAGTAACCGTTGAAGACACGTCATCTTGCATCCCGTTATTGATCTAGTATTACTCAGGTCATGTGAGGACCAATATTTATTGCCACGTGTACGATCAGGATTAAAGGCTCGAACAACCTTCCTTTATTACCCTTACTCTGTCACGTGTCGAACTGTAACTGGCTTTTACAAAATATGTAGCCAACAGTTATCTATGAAGATCTAAATTTTAAAAAAGGCTATGTCATTGTCAATGGATATATCAATCATCAATAAAAAGTATTATTATTATTATTATTATTATTATTTTGTATTTTAACTTGGGAACATTTTCAAGGAGCTCCGGGAATGTCATAGATAGCATGTCATTTTTTGAAATTAATATATCACATTGAAACTACAAAATGACTAAATCAATATTTATTCTAAAACAACTTCGTTAGTAGCTCTTAATTGGCTCTCCCCGTGCATTCCTTTTCTCTTGTCTTCTATTTTCTTTCAACTTTCCAAGTGTTTATGACCATAACCAATGTTTCAAAGAGATGCTTGTGATCTAGACCAAAAATTCAATCTAGGTCCATAAGAAGTTTAATAAGGAACTGTTTGAAACAACACGAGGCACTTACTGAGTAAGTCGGTTTCAATGCATGAGCAGCAGCAATGTAAATTGCAGATTGGCTGAATAATTCATTAGATGAAACTTCTTTTACATTGACTGATCCCCCAGTTCTTGAAGTGTCCTCTGCTAATCCATACTGCAAACATGGGACTACAGGTTCAAGCTCTATTTCATATTCTCCAAACTAGATACTCCAAAGAAACGTGTAACTGAAAAGTTAGAATCATGCTAGTTAAAAGGCAAACCTACCAGAACAGTTCCCAGGTTGTAAATTGCCCTATGGAAATCAAATTGCAACTGTATTGCTGCACGAAACTGCAACATAATACAAGTGAAAGGTATCAAAAGCACAGATCATTCAATTTGTTTCCCCAACAAGCTAACAATATGATTTTTTTTAGCATTCAACAGGTTAATGAAAAAAGGATATCTGAATACATACATCATGAAGTGTAGGGCAAAGGTGAGTGGCCTCGTCATACTTTTTGCATGCCTCTCCAAGCAAATCATCTTTCGAAGCTGAACTAGAATCCGGACTAACATTATCCGCACTTACCTGCATAAAAAAGTTAAAAAATATAGACAGGGTAATTTGGATCTGTGAGTTTAATTAAAAGTTTAACCTGTGACCACAAACGAATCATCACAAATCCATATAGAGAGAGAGATTTAGAGAGAGAGAGAGAGAGGAAATACGGACCATTCTTCAAGCTGTTGGTCACAGGTTTTATCGCAGTCTGATGGACCGCCTTCACGGATTTGAAAGCTCTCTTCGAAAATTGTACACGAAAGGGGTCGATCTTCGGCTGTTCTTTGGCTAGAAGCTTGCTTATTATAATATTTGGCGATGGAATTGGGATCATTTCATCCTATTCTTGGTCGATTTTTGCTGATGGCCTTCTCTTTCTCGAGACCGGCCAGAATTGAGCGTTTGACCTAGGCTGTTTTGGCCGGCCAGTTGCTTTTTTTGAGCAAAACGCCAGTTGGTAATCGCAAAAAGTAAGTTCAAAAATTACGTAATTACCCTCTATGTTTATATTTTGTATAAATGGGTAAAATGTAATTTTTTAAGGTGGGTTAGGGTTTAGGTTTAGGGTTTAGGATTTTACGTAATTTTTAAACTTACTTAAAAAATATCAGGCTTACTGCTACGTCCTTTGATTAGGCACTACAAGAAATTGCACTTTTAGCGACTATTTTTGGCGACGACGTCAATTTTTCATCGCTAAAAGTATATTTTTGGCGACACAGTGATCAATTTCGTTAGTAAAAGTATACGTTTACCGACGCAATTTGTTGCCGTCGCTAAAAAGGCATAACATTATTTTAGCGCCAATTTTTTTGGTTGGCGCCAAAATTTCATAACTTTTATCTACGAGGCTTATGTTTTAGCAACACAATGAGCGTTGCTACTAGTGTGCTTACTTTTGGCGACGACAAGTTGGCGTGGGCAAAGAGTTAACTATTTAGCGACGATGACACTATTCGTCGGTAAAAATTTTGCTAGTAAAATGATGTGATTTAGTGATTTGTGTTTTTTATTGTAATTTTTGAAAGAGTTTTAAATATTTTAGTTACTTAATTGTAAAATTAAAATGATCATTGAATTAGATCACAAAATGAACCCATTGAGCCCAAACACAGTCTTAAGTTGAGATGTCTAATTTGAGATAATTTAAATTTTTTCAAAGAATATGGTTAAATTATCAATTTCAATATGCTTGTTTTTATTTTCAGGAACTAGTTTCAAAATTTTTTTCCCTAAAAAACTAAAAACAAATTGGGTGAACAAAAAAATACTTATTATTTTTTGTATATTTTTATCTTTTAGGTCATAAATACTTTTTAAAATTTTAAAAATATAATTTTCAACCACAACAATGGCGTCTCTCACCCCTGGCATCCTCTCCAAACTTCTCCAAAATTTCAGCAACACTGTCGCCGGAGGGTATCGACAAGAAAGTGGGTGTGAAAGGAGAGATTGAGGGTTCGGGAAAAGATGGGTTAGAGAAAGAGAGAGTCTGCCTTCTCTCTAGAAATTGCCTAAATTTCTAGGGTTTTCTCATTCAACATTTCGTTGATAATGGCTGATCTCACATCTAATTTACGCAATTTGGCTATGATGGCTGATGGGTTAGTGACTGAAGGTTCTCTTTCGCCAAAGGGGAGTTCGCACATCATGAAAGATTTACTGTTAGAGAGGGATTTGTTAACATTGATGGACATCGTGAAGTGAAATGAGGGTAAAAATCAATCTTCTGCCTTCGAGATCGTTTTGGGTATGAGCCCTACGACTTCGATTGTGGTTCAGTCCGAGGTCCCTACTCCTAGTTCCTTTGTCGAAGCTATGGGTGGTCTCTGTTCCGAAATCCGAGACCTTGCTCAGCAACAAAAGCTTTGTTTTGGGGGAGAAGTGGCGTCGAGCCTTGCCATTGTTCATTCGCAGGTATGGCTAAGGATTTATTGGTCAATTGCTTGGGCTGTTTGAAATGCCTGATCATTAGATTTTTCTTAAACTAATTCATGCATTGAATCAATTTTACAGCACTGCTACAAATGTTGAGATTGACTTGCCTGTTCCAGCCGATACTACCAACCCAAATGTTTGGACATCATTGGGATCTGCTTCATATGCACCAGAAAAGGATGCTTTGATCTGGAAAATTAAATCTTTTCCTGGTGGTAAGGTGAGAGTTTACCTCAATTTTTTCTTAGTGTATTGTTTGCTAGTAATTTCTTGTTCATGGCTATTGGTTATGTGGGGCTACAATATCTTTTCCACTTGCAATTTTGACATGGGATTTTGACACTCTTTGCAAATTCAATTTAGGAATATATGCTTAGAGCGGAGTATACTCTTCCCAGTATAACATCTGAAGACGCAGCTCCTGAGAGAATAGCTTCTATACGTGTGAAGTTTGAGATACCATATTTTGCTGTTTCAGGAATCCAGGTTTCCCCTCTCAAATACAATTTTTTATTTTTATTTTTTTGTTTTAATTTTTTATTGAATAGAAAATTCAGATATTGTTGCATGTATATCTGCAATGCTTCATTCTTTCTGTGTCTGCTGTGTTTGCGTCTTTTTTTTCATTTTTTTTAATCTATCTAGACAAAGGTGGAATGGATAAAACCAAACCTTGTGTTCCAATCAGGAATGATAAACCAAAACCAAACCAAACTTTGTGTTCCAATCAGGTGAGAGGATTCATACTTGATGTGGTTGAACACTCAAATTTGATGCAGGATATCACTCCCTTTTACGTGCATGTAGCCATGCACCTACCATTAGTGCCCTGCTCTCTTTGATCAAATCAACAAATATAAAAAAAAAAAAATAATAATAAAAAAAGGTTGGTTGTTGGACTGAGAATACTATTTCACTCACTTCCCAGGATTGCATGATACATAAATCTGCATTTTGTATGACTCTTATTTGGGTTTCATTATGCCTTGAAATGCTTGTCCTCCCAACAGAGGTCATGAATGACTGTGAACGACTGCTCCTCTGTAACTATGTATTCCAATATTACTTCCTTTTGACTCTGCATTAAAAAGGCCAACCTGCTTTTTAAATTCACAGATGTGGATACAAAAAAAGTCCAAACTACTCTCTGTCTGTCTCAGCCATTTTGGCACTGTAATTTGTCATTAGCCATTGACAGAAGCTATGCTTGTTGAAGTGGTATTCCAGCTCCTACACTGTATTTTCTTTTAGAATAGAATAGCCTGTTGAACTTCTTAGAGATGTGGTTTTCCACAGATGTTAGTGATTGAGCATGATTGAACCTATGTATTATAATTATTCTGATTCTTGCTTGCTGCTTTTTGCTACTGAGATGTGAAACTTCTAAACCTTAAGCGAAGGGGTCGATGCCTACTTGAGCTAGTTCTGGTCTTGTTCTTGTTCCGAGGAGTGAACAGTGCCACTGGTTTTAACTTTGAAATTTATTTTATTTTATTCAAGTTGGTTGGGGAAACTGCTTTGGTGACTCTTCATGATGATGTATTCCTACTGTTTGGTTCTTCTGGATGCTCAGTTTGGTTCTGAACGTAACGTAACAACCATAATAAAATAATATCCTTTATTTATGTAAATGTTGTGTTTTGTAGGTTCGTTACCTAAAGATTATCGAGAAAAGCGGCTACCAGGCTCTTCCATGTGTGAGATACATAACCATGGCCGGCGAGTATGAACTAAGACTTATGTGAAAATCTACTTCCACCTGTTGGTGTTCTCAATCTCTACAAACTCGCATGATTTTGCACTTTCGTGGGCAAAATGAGCCTATAGGAGAGTTAAATTGCCCCTATCCAGACAAATAGCTAATTGAGCAAATTCTTGTGCGTCCGTTTTCTTTGTTGAAGTCATTGTTGATTATCAACCAGAGGTTTGTAGAAGTTGATGTTTACTAGCAAAGTTTGTTCATACACTTGTGAAAATCAAGTTAACTTTTGTGAATTAAAGTTTGTTTATTCGTGATATTTTTTTGAACTCGTCCGCTTTTTATGTTTTTATTATTCATTCAAAAAACCGAAGGTATATGCATCAGCACAAGATGATTGTCATGGTAATTTATGTATGATAGAAAAGCCTTGTTCTTGTGATGTCAGAGCTTCATGTGTTCACTTACATGATCATCTGACGTCCACTTGCATTACAACTTAAACTGATTGATGTGCTCTTTGACATTAAGGCATTAATCTTTCCTTTGGCAGGTACGCATCTTTTGGACCTGAATATGCCTACCCACAAGTCAGTAAATTCAAATCTCAACTGCTAATGGGTATTTTGGTACTCCAGTTGGTTCTGGAAAGGAATATGTGCACAATCATGGTGTGTTCTGTCTATTTTTTCAGGGTGTCTACAATCCTCACATGGGTCAGCATTACCTTCGAATATATGGCGTACCAAGCACAGTTAACACAAATATTGTCCCATATGGACAAATGGGTCATCCTCTCTCTGACAACCATGGGTATCCAACCATTCAGGGCTATGTGACACCAGGTCGTCATGTTCTGCAATATGGGGGACCCCTCGTCAATGGAGTAACTACAGACACTATTGCCATAACTCAAGCACAATACCTTGCAGGTAACTCTCTCTCTCTCTCTCTCTCTCTCTCTCTCTCTCTTTGTGTGTTTTGAGCTTGGAAATGAGTGTGAAAATGATGCATACCAGATTTGGCATATAGCCAAAAAAATTATCAACCTGGAGTTGCTACTGGAATTTTGTTAACAATACATATTTGCGTATGTGCATACGCCTAAGTGTATAAATGTCCATCCATGTTACACACAGACATGCAATTCTAGAAGCATTATAGTTTTGATTGTCAATACAATAATCATTACGTAGAGACCAATTCATTCTTGCACAGATCCAGGATCATGTGAGATGTTTAGGATCAATAAAGATGTGTGATTATGGCTGAACCGAAGGTAGCTTGATGAGGCATCCTTCTGGCTGCTGTATGGCTGATCTAGCAAGTTTTTTTCTTCTTTTTCTTCTTAGAAGCTTCCAACCAACCATATAACTTTTGGTTAATACCTTCCTATATGATGTTTAGCTCCTGGCAGGACCTATTGCTGAACAAAAGGGGTTAAAAAAAAAAAGAAAAAGAAAAAAAAGAAAAAGAAAATGTTATTTCAAATCTGCCTCCTTAGAAGAACATATTGATGAAGAAGATATTCTCTAAGCAATACTATATCCTATAATAAGGTTATTTATGTGATGGTTGGCACTGCTTTAAGGGTGAAGTTTTAGGAATTGTTGGTTTGATTATGCTCCTCAAAGTTGTTACTCTGACCTTGTAAGGATTGGTTAGGACAGAGATGTTAGTGGCTAATATTGTCAGTATTAGTAAAGTGATTGTTCTCTTGTCAGTATTGGAGCTTGAGGATTTGTTTGAATATTTGCATCCCCAATAGCCAATATGAACAACAATGCCTTTCATCTTGGCTAATTGTATTCTTAAGTATCTTGAATTAGATGTCTACTAAGCGAAGTTATCTCCCAACAGCAAAATAATAATAATAATAATAATAATAATAATCTAAGAACTAATTTGATTGCTGTTTTTTTTTAGTATCCTGAACTACAGGCATCTGCAATGCTTGCTTTATGTTGATTTATGATTATTGATGCAGATTTTTGGTAAGATTTCTCTCCCTCCCTCCCTCCCTCCATCTCTTTGTGTTTGTGTGTGTAACAGAAAATGACATCTAATTTCAATTGGTTTCCAATGATGCAAATCCACAGCTTCTCTTCACTGTTGGGGAGAACGCAAATTTCCAGCTTGAAAATGATATTGGATTTCTATCAGGTTTTTTGCTCATACCTTTCAGTAGATGTTTCATGTAAATAGTGAATTGTGCATATTTGCTAGCTGCATACAGGTATTTTCACAGGACAAATCCATTTATGAAGCTGTGGAGAATGCATTCATCACAATATATGTAAGGAAGATTCCAATAGAAACTCCTAAAAACCTTTTATATCTTGCAATAGATTCAAACATTGGTGATCTTGCAGCTCTGGAGTTCATAGTTGGTGCCTTGGTATCCAAAGGTGATATAACTGCAAGCACAGTATGCTTCTCTCCTCGTCTTTCAATAATCTTTTACAAATCGTAAGTAGTTGAAATCTTTTGGTTGAGCTATTTTTGATGATATTCATAGATGGACAAAGAACTACATTTTTGCCATACTATTCATGCATGCTTGGAGCATAAGAAGTCTAGCTCTTACCAAGATTGAGCTAGGGTTGCAATTGACCTGAGTTGAACCAAACATTTGGTAGTTTGAGCTCAGCATGAAACAGTTGGGTTGAGCCATACTATCTTTTATTTCCTTTCAATTTGAACTCTTTCCGAGGTATGCTATGGATATATGCTATATCCTTTTGTTTTATCTTTCTGCTGAAAAATTTGCAGTTTTGTCATTGATATGCAAATTGAAAAATAATGATGTTAAGTAAAAGGATAAAAATGATTTATACCATTGTAAAACTTAAATTAGTAGATGTCGGACAAATATGTTGTTTACATATATGCTTTTCTGATTTTGAATGATCTGTCATGCTTTAAGGCTTTTGCCTTTTCAAAATTGGTGAGGAGAGTGCATCACATATTTATTTAGTTCATTTTTACTCACAACAAAGTTTTTATATCATTATAAATACATGACTCCCCAGTTATTTTCAAGTGTATCCACTAAAGATTTGGAGAAATGAGGTAAAAATTGAAATCTATTACTTACATGTTTGAATTAAGTATTGTTTCTTGCATTGTTTCATTTATCATCTGGGATTTTTTGTTTTGCAGGTCTTGATAGATACAGATCACTGCTATTGTGTAATTCTAAATGCAGATGGTGGGCAGCATTTCCTAGTGAAAAGACTGCACAAGATTGCAGTTCTAGTGATATTTCTTCTTTGAAAATCAACACTGGTTCTGGAAAGACAGAGAAGACAAAGGTTTGATGTATTCATTAGTTTATGCGAAGAATACTAGTATTTGTTTCATGATTTGCTTGAGTTTCTGATTAGTTTTTTTTTTTGGTTGTTGTTGTTTTTCTTCGTTATCCCTAATGTGAAATAATGTTCTTAATTATGAGCTCAATAATTGTACTGTGTTTCTATCCAGTTGCTCACCTAGGGATGTGCTATTGTTGTCTTAAGAAATCATGACTATATGTCGTGCTGGACGAAGTATATTGTGACTATGTGCTATTTGTTGTTCTTCACACCATAGTTTGAGTAGCAGTTGTCTCCAACTATATCTATATATCTTGTTTTGCAGGTCTTGATAGATACAAATCACTGCTATTGTGTAATTCTAAATGCAGATGGTGGGGCAGCATTTCCTAGTGAAAAGACTGCACAAGATTGCAGTTCTAGTGATATTTCTTCTTTGAAAATCAACACTGGTTCTGGAAAGACAGAGAAGACAAAGGTTTGATGTATTCATTAGTTTATGCGAAGAATACTAGTATTTGTTTCATGATTTGCCTGAGTTTCTGATATATATATATATATATTTTTGGTTGTTGTTGTCTTTCTTCGTTATCCCTAATGTGAAATAATGTTCTTAATTATGAGCTCAATAATTGTACTGTGTTTCTATCCACTTGCTCACCTAGGGATGTGCTATTGTTGTCTAAAGAAATCATGACTATATGTCGTGCTGGACGAAGTATATTGTGACTATGTGCTATTTGTTGTTCTTCACACCATAGTTTGAGTAGCAGTTGTCTCCAACTATATCTATATATCTCAGGAGTGACAGTTTTGTTTGCTTTACATTCCTTAACTTACCCAGGGTTGAACCTACAACTTGATCTTAGTATTTCTATTATTTATTGTGTATGTTTTTCAGTTGCCACTTTGTTGCTGATGAACAATCACTAAACTAGTGTTTTAATTCTTAAAAATTGATGGGATTTTGCTTATATATTATATATAAGGGTCAGAATTTCATTTCAGTACATTATTTTAGTTAGCTTGGAAATAGAAACATGAGGAAAGCATAAAAAAATGTTTGTAAACAAAAACCAAAACCTACCTTAATGGATAATTGAACATGGCTACACTAAACAAGGTTTACGAATTGCGCGCGCACACACACACACATATGTATATATAAAAGAAGAAGAATAAACATAGACAACAAGAGGGTGATATGCAGAGTCTTATGCGTAATTGTTTACGATCTAAAACTAAAGCAGATGAGAGAGGTTGAAGAATAAAAAACTAAAGCAGTTGCCTACTTGAATATAAAACTCAAGTAAAGCAAAGTGACTATTTCCATGTTCTGCTCTTGCCATAAGAATTATTGACACAACTTCAACAAGGAGGGACAACAAACATATATATATATATATCTATTGTAAGAAAATAAATAAAAAGAAGACCCAACCCTATACACTCAATCTATAGATTCTATATTGAGGTTGTGGTATTACTTGAGGAACTTGGACACCATGCTCCATTCCAAGGCCCTGCTGTAAATGTGAGCCTTGTGCACTGGGTATAACTTTTTTTGTCTGGATTGCTCTCTCCTCTTGTTAGTTTAGCATTAGGCATGGCTGGCTGAGATGCAAATTAGCAGCCTCTTGATAAATATTTTGGTCAAAGATAAAACTTGAAAATCTGAAATCTTAACTTTTGTCAAGTGTTTTCATAAAATGCTAATTGATTACCCCCCCAAACACACAACACACAATTTCTTCCTCATTTAAGAGAGTGGAGGGCTTTGGTTTGTTCTAAAGTAATAGCATCTTAATGGGTTGGTAGTTTGTGATTGCAGCTTACTCTTTTTTCAGGATTTGTCAATTATCGAATGGTTCGAGATGCAAATGAAGGTATATTTATCTATTATAGCATTTAATCCTGGACTCATTTTAATATTTGGGTCTCAGGATATTTACTGTTTTTTATTGATTACAATTTTTCTTCATCATCTAACGTGTGGCATTAAAGACATTTCCTGAGTTCCAATCTTGTAGGCATATAACACTTCATATGCTCATTTGTACTTGTTCCTACTTCAGTGACTCATGCAGCAACACAGCTCTTGATTAAGGAATAGTGGTTCTGATTGAGATTTTATAATTGCTGTTGATTATAGTTGAAAGTAGTCATCAACTTGATGCATTATAATTTTGTGAAACTGAATGAAAAGAAATACCCTTGTCCTTGAAGTTTGTTTTATTCCAATAGGTGTGTTTTAATATTTCAAATGAAATTTTATTGGTGGATTGTTTCATGTTGACTCCCACTAGATGATTGATCAATATTGAAGCAAGTGTTTCAATGGAATTTCTTCCATGAAGTCCATAATATAATGTCATTTCCTCAAGTAAATGATTTGTGGCAAGTAGCATATCACTATGTGCATGCAATTAGCTTGTGCAGACTGCTCGTCTACTCAGGCTTTGAGTTCAATATTGATTAGTGGAAAGTATTTAAAATTTTTCCTTACTAACAAATTGTTTCTGCTTTGAAACTTTTCTCCACACTTAATTATCATCCAAATACTAACAATTATCGATATAGAAATAATTTTTAAAAAAAAGTAAAACTATTCAAGCCATGTATTTATCGATGTGGAAATAATTTTCAGCTCCTTTGGTCGATCAAAAACTTGACATTAACAGTTTACCTTGCTAGAATAACAAAGTTTATATCATAATCTTTTAGTTTGTGATATTCAATCAAAAGTTTTACAACTTCCCAAAATAAAGTTTGTAGTTATGACATTTCCATTACAGAGTTTGATTAAATCACCAATTTTGGATATCAGAGTACTGCACTGAAATTTTATGTATCAATTTTGAGCATTATTCTTTTTTTTTTTTTTGTGATCAACTACAAAAAAAGAAAAAGAAAGAAGTTATTCTTTCTTTGTCTGGGCTTATCTCTCCCTCTCCTTTACAACTGGGAAGTCTGGATTCGGGAGCCTCCTGTCACTTGGACATTCCCCTGGGAAAACTGACAAGATTCACATGAAAGGCCCTGGAAGACGTAGGGACGTGGAAGTTGTTGTTTCTCGTGTTGTAGGTAAATAAGAAAATCTTTTTTTCCCCTTCTCATTCTGCAAGTCTTCTAATATTTTGTAGTTTTTTTAACCTTAATTTTATTGGTGATAATGTTTTTACTGGTGAAGAATATGAATTGAATTGATTCGTATTTCATAATGAGTAATGGAACTTTACGAACCTTGACTCCCTTGGCGTCTGTTAGTAGAATTTCATTTAAATGTTTTTATTAAACTTACCATTCTTATTTAGCACAGCTGATCCACCCCAAACTCCCTTCCTTCCCCGTTCCAGAAACAGGTGCTTATGGTTTGACAGCTGTAAAGCTTTCTTCTCAAATATCTTCTGTAAAATAATTATTGCTTTTTCTTTTTTAATTATTTTTCTTGGTGGTGCGGGAGTGACAGTTTATCTATTATTGTTTTTCTTTGAATACATTGAATTTGGCACAATAGAGGAAATTGATTCCTTTTTCCTTAGGTTTTTGTAAGTGCCCAGGTTGCTAGGATTTGCTTGAGAAGTATGTAGTTTACAATATATTGATGTGGTTTGTTTTCTGCACTTGAATCGTGTCATTTTAAGCCTACTATAGTAATGCTTAACACTCACACACACACACACACACACACACACACACACACAGAGACTGCTACCAGATCAATAAAAAGGGTAATGGACTTTGTTTTAAACTTGTCATTGATCAATACAGATTGCTACTAGATCCTCTTTTTTGCTGGTGGCTAATGGCTGTTGCTTGTTGGTCTGCTGCAGCTGCTGGTCTGCTGCTATTGCCGCCCTCATGGCTGACGCTTGCTGGGCTGCTGCTGCTGCAATGTTGCTGTGAGGTGGCTGCTATTAGATTTTGGTTTGCTGGATAAGTTTGTGGGTGATTTTCATGCCGTTTTGCCTGTCTTTGTTAGTTTCATATTTTCATTTTGTTATCTGTTGTTTCTAATGTGGATTCACCATTTGGATGTATTTGGGTATTTTAGTGACTTTACCCTTTTAGGTTTTATACATTGCTTCTAAAAGCAGTGTCACTAGTGTTTTTTTTTGCTTGCACATCAACTTTAGGTGATTTCATATCAATGTTATTAGTTTGTAATAGTGGTGCCTGAGGGATGCCTCTTGTAAATCTGTAAATCTTATAAAAATATATAAATTATTTTCAATTATTTTTGTTAGTAAATGTGTTGCCAAAAGTTGTGTCACTAGTGTTTTTTTTTTGCTTGCACATCAACTTTAGGTGATTTCATATCAATGTTATTAGTTTGTAATAGTGGTGCCTGAGGGATGCCTCTTGTAAATCTGTAAATCTTATAAAAATATATAAATTGTTTTCAATTATTTTTGTTAGTAAATGTGTCGCCAAAAGTTTATTTTTGCCCACTCATATTGTGTTGTTAGAAGTGTATTTTTTGCTAATGTCAATTTGTCGTTGCCAAAAGTAAACTTTTATCGACAAACAAATTGTTGGCAAATGGCAATATTTATTGACGTAAATGTGTTGCCAAAAGTTTACTTTTGCCCTCTCATATTGTGTTGCTAAAAGTATATTTTTTGCCAATGCTAATTTGTGTCGCGAAAAATGCCACACAATCATCATATTTGAATGACTTTTACCGACGCAAGGTAAATTGCCGACGATGGATGAAGGCTTTTATCGACGACTATGTTCGTCGCTAAAGGCGCTACTTTTACCAACGCAATGATAATTTCGTCGGCAAAAACTTTTGCCGACTCACTTTTGCCTACGGGTTGCCAACGTAGCTTTGTGTGTTGGCAAAACTCTTTGCCGACGAATTTTCCCTTTTAGCAACATATTTTGTTGCGTTGCAAAAAATACAATTTCTTGTAGTGCAACCACCAAGTCACATTTATTTATTTGTTTATTTATTTACTATAATTATCTCCCTCTTTCGTAATAATACAAAGGGTAATGCTAGGGACACCAAATTTTCTACCAAACAAATGACCAAATGTCTCACATGGATGTGGGGTCCGCAATTTTGTGGGCCCCACACCTATGTGAGACATTTGATCATTCATTTGATAGAAAATTTGGGACCTCTAACATTTTCCTAATACAAACCCATACTTTTACCAACGCAATGATAATTTCGTCGGCAAAAACTTTTGCCGACTCACTTTTGCCTACGGGTTGCCAACGTAACTTTGTGTGTTGGCAAAACTCTTTGCCGACGAATTTTCCCGTTTAGCAACATATTTTGTTGCGTTGTAAAAAATGCAATTTCTTGTAGTGCAACCACCAAGTCACATTTATTTATTTGTTTATTTATTTACTATAATTATCTGCCTCTTTCGTAATAATACAAAGGGTAATGCTAGGGACACCAAATTTTCTACCAAACAAATGACCAAATGTCTCACATGGATGTGGGGTCCGCAATTTTGTGGGCCCCACACCTATGTGAGACATTTGATCATTCATTTGATAGAAAATTTGGGACCTCTAACATTTTCCTAATACAAACCCATGCACATGGAGAAGAGAGAACACAGCACAACCCCTAGACGTACACGTATACGATACACAGCACAGCATAATAGGAAACTATAGCTAAAACGGGGGCTGAACTCTGAAGCGTTTTCATTTTAGTTTCAGACTATATTATATATATGATAATAAGGAGGTTTAATTATATTTAGTAGTAGTGGTAGAAGGGAGTAGAGTAATAAGATGATGAACGGCTAAGCACAAGTAACACAGGTGCAACCTTCAGCGCACTTGCAACCAGCAGCAGCAGCAGCAGCGGTGACAGTCTTGGGGCAGGTGCAGGGGTTGCAGCCGCAATGCTCCCCACACGGGCATCTCTTGTCTTCCATGCTTGTATCATCTCCTCCCCCCGTTCCTGTACTACTATCGCACCTGCTTTATATACATTCATATTCATATTTCATTTTATAAGAAACAAAATAAACCACGAAGAAAACATAAACTTAAATTTCGATCGCATAAATAGTTACTTTATTTTAACAACCCAAAAACACTTCAACCAGGCCAAAAAAATCCTAACATGAAAACCATGCAGCATTTATGCATCAATAAGACTGTAGTCTGTAAAAACCAATCAAGTTACTCAAGCTTGATTTGTGTTAAAAATTCATTTGATTTTTGGACAAACTTCAAAGAAAAATTACATGTAAGTGTATGTTTACTTAAAAAGTTTAATTAAACTCAAAACAATTTATTATTGGGCATGAGAGAGAGAGAGAGAGAGAGAAAGAGAGAGAGAGAGACAGAGAGAGAGAGAGGAGTGACCTGCAAGAGGAGCTGCCAGGGCACGGAGAAGGGCATCCACACTTATCGTCGCAAACACCACTGCTTCCCCTCACGTCTGTCATTTTTTCCCACCGTATTAATATTATAGATACAGATATAATAGTAAGATACTGAGATTAGTATTATTAGATTCCACTGCAACAAATAACGGTATATTGTTTGTTGTATAGGCCGTTGTTTATGTCTATATATCTATATATAGGGATAGAGATAGAACTTCTTGCTCTTGATGATGATGAGGATGATGATGATGATGATGAGGAGCGGAAGCAACTTTGTAGAAGAAACTAGTCACCCATGTGGCATGTCCGTACGAAGACATAAGTTTGAAGGGGTGACATGTGGCGCTAGGTGGCAAAGCTAGTTAACGTGGCATCATTTCTTCATTGCTTACTTTTCTCATTACTTACCACGTAACATACCCTCATCCATCTCTCATCCCTCCTCATTTCACCACCACCTCTCCGTTCGGAAAAAATCAATAAAACTGTGATACCACCTCATCCTACGTGGAATTATCAATTAATAAGATGTTATCATTTATTTGCTATTATATATAGATCACAGTCCCATCATAATAATATGAAATTATGAAAATTAAGTGAGTAGTTACATTTAAAAAATAAATTTTGTTTTTAATGATATTTTACGTACATAATGACATGATGTTACTGTTTTATTATATTCAAATTTTATTCATGTCGGTTTTCATCATTTGTGTACTTTACTTTGCTATGTCCACAACTAGCAAGGATCCTTTAGAAATTTTTTTTTTAAAAAAATTTATGATTGAAATTTAATGACAAGTCATATTAATTTTTTAATATTAAATCTCAAACACACAATACATAACTTCCAAAAATTAAAAAAAAAAAAACACTTTAAAAGATGTCCACACCACCGCAAACTTTGCTGAAAACGTCAGCCAAGATGGTATATGTTGATCCTCGATCCAAGGAAAATTTAGTGCTCCTCGTTAAGGTCATGAGGTGCTTTCATTTATATTGATTTTAATAATATATTTTATTCTGATAAAAAAAATAAACTTTATTATATTTAATTATTTTTTAAAAAATGACGATATAAATAAATAAATAAATAAATATTGCAAAATGATATATTATTTGTGTCTATACATAGTAATTCTGCTAACTGTGTCTCTCAATCTAATTTTCTGGCTTGCTAATCAAACGGCTTCTGTGATTGGGGTAAATGATTGGCTTGCTAATCAAGCAGCTTCTTTTGCTTTTGGGTAATCTCTTTTGCCCAAAATAAACCTACATTGTTCTTCTTGCTCTGTTGGCTGTTTTGTTTCCAATTGTGCACTCTGGTTTGTGAAGTGTTGATTTGTAAAGTGTTGATCAAATGTAAGGTAGATCGGTCGACGCAACCAACAAGAAAGAGATCGGTATCCTCATCTCAATCAAACCCTACTTCCCTCTCTCTAAGTCCCTCCAATGTCTTCCTTCAAATCCCCACTTTCATTGGCTTCATCAGTTGATGGCAGCAGCAGCGATCGATGGGTCTGTCTCACCACCCTTCCGGTGAGATTCACGTCATTGTTGGGCCAATGTTCGCTGAAAAAACAACAGCTCTCCTTCGTCGAGTCGAATCTGAGGGCAACAATGGCAGGTACTTTGTTGACTTTGTTAATTTCGTGAATTTGAGGGTTCTGATTTGTAAAGTTGGGGGTTCTGATTTGTAATTTAATTTGTGCAATTTATTCTCAACACTTTTATGGTGTTATGTAGTTAAGAAATTCTGAATGTTAATTAATTGTAGATGATAACAATGTGTTAAGTTTATGTTGGATGCATAAAGAATTTTATTTTATTTTAACTATTATTTTGGGGCCAACCATGTAAATGTAGAAATGTTGCAATAATAAAGTCAAGGAAGGATACGAGATATGCGGTTGACTCGGTGGTAACACATGATGGGACAAAGTTTTCCTGTTGGGCGTTGCCGGATCTGTTGTCATTTAGGCAAAAATTTGGAGATGAGGCTTATGCCAAGGTATTTCAAACTTGAACCATTTGATTTGTGTTTTTTTTTTTTTATAAATTTTTTTTTTTTGGTTCAGTCTATGGTGTCCCAGTTGTTCTATGGGCTTGGTAGCTTCATAAGTTGGATGTGTTTGATATATTGTAAGTGATATTGAAGTGATGTTACTATAATCTTCGTGGTTTTATGTAAGAAGAATTTGATTGTTTCTTGTGGCTTGACATTTTACAATTTACATTTCTAATTATTGGTGTTGGAGCTAATTTAACTGGTACACAAGTAATCTTAACTGTTTAGGCTCTCTTTTTTATTTTTTATTTTTAAATGTGAAACCAAATGCTGTTCATGATTTCTTTTTTTCTTTTTTTTTTGAGTAGAACACAACAATATAAACATTAAACTAAGCAGAATGTCTTACATCAGTATCAAGATGATGAGCATCTTGAACCACATCTCGGTCCACCTTTTCTAATACAACATGATGAAAAGGTTTACAATAAGACAAATATCAGTTAGAATGGATTGGAGACTCCCATCATATTCTTGATCATGGTGTTGGAGGAGCAGGACGAGGACTAAGCAGCCCGTTTGTAGAAGCAGCTTGCTGATGCCGTAATGCTATTCATGATTAACACCATTGCATTTTTTTTTTTTTTTTTTTTTTTTTTAATGCTTTTTCTATTATCTTCTAAATGCTGGTTACATGTTGGCAGCTGGATGTGGTTGGCATTGATGAAGTTCAATTTTTTGGCGACCTTTATGATTTTTGCTGCAAGGTTGCTGACCATGATGGGAAAACTGTAATAGTTGTTGAGCTAGATCGGGACTACTTGAGGTTTTTCTTACAGATTAATTCGTTTTTTTTTTCTTTTCCTTGATTCAAATTTGTGACGGGCCTTTGTTGTGGTGTTTTTGCTTGATAATATAAATATTTTTCGTATGCCCGTGCCTAGGCATACACAAAATTCATGTTAAAGTCAATAAATTTGATAAATTACATTTTAAATCAATACTTTTAAATTTAATTATATTTTAATCTTATAATTAATTATATTATTTCTGAACATAATACAATCACCAATTTGATTTAAGATGTAGTAGGTTTTGATTAAAATATTAATTATAAGATGCACTATTTTGATTTCTGAACATAATACAATCACCAATTTGATTTAAGATGTAGTAGGTTTTGATTAAAATATTAATTATAAGATGCACTATTTTGATTTCTGAACATAATACAATCACCAATTTGATTTAAGATGTAGTAGGTTTTGATTAAAATATTAATTATAAGATGCACTATTTTGATTTCTGAACATAATACAATCACCAATTTGATTTAAGATGTAGTAGGTTTTGATTAAAATATTAATTATAAGATGCACTATTTTGATTTCTGAACATAATGCAATCACCAATTTTTGTTTATTTATTTATTTTTTTAATCCCTAAACTATCATTTTCATGTATTTAGTTCCTGAAGGTTCTGATTTCAGTTCATGTGGTCCAATTGAAAACGATTACATAAATCAGTAACTGTAGAAGCTCAGTTTGATGAAATAAAAAAGTTAGGTAAGAACTTGAACAACTTAAATAATACAACGAAACGCGCATTTTTCCTCCACCGTTGTTGTTTGTTGAGTTGTGGTTTGGAGTGAAGGACAGACCCATTGCCATTATGAGAAGGGAGGGAGAGAGAGAGAGAGAGAGAGTTTGAGACAAAGTTGGGAGAGATCCAGAACAAGTTACACAGATTTGCTTTTCTCTTATCCCCACACCCCAATTCGCTTCTTTCCTCCCTCAGGTAAATTCCCCTCTGTGTGTGTGTATATATCTATGCATGCATTTTCTTTTGCATCCGTGTTGTTAGAATGAAGATAAACGTTGCCCGTTCTGAAAAATCTAGGTGGCTATTTATGGGACTCAACATTTTTGAATTCTCCATTGCATGTGAGGCATGTGTGCATTTAGAATTGAATCCAATTAAAGTCAGTCAAGTGGATCATCCTATTGTTGCTTTAATTGCTGAAAATTTAGTTAATTGTTTGTGGTTTTGACGGTTTCTGATGAATTGCTTGAGCTTTCTCTATGGGAATATTGATCTTGATTGTGATGTGAAGTAACACAGTATCTTTGTAAATTCATGTACACTATGTTTGTAAAATTAGTCATCTTTCGAAGTTCACTTTTTAATCTCTATGTAGTTTTTATTTCTGATCAACATTTGATTTGTTATAAAATAAAATCTGCTGATACATATCAAATTTTATCAAACAAAATTTCTTTGTATTAATAAATTTTTTTCATATCATCTTTGGGAATTGCACAGTGTGCTTGCCACCCCACAAGGGTTGAGCCCAATTCCTGTTTTGACTTGCAGATACATACCAAGATACACCTTTAGTTGGCTGGTCAAACCTATGTGGTGGGTCATAAGTACATGAACTTTTGTCAATTTCACATGGATTCTGACTTTTCGTGTTTGTGAACTGATAAATGAAAGTTTTGTTCTTTTCTTAATAGAGTTTCTTCATAGGGCAGCTGATCTTACACTGGTTGCATCAACTGCCCATGCACAGCAGCTTGAAGCAGCTAGGGTAACAGCAGGTAAATGAACATCGCCCAATAGATAACTCTCTGAAATTTCACATTGATCACATAACAGAATTTGACATTTATGCTTCTGCTTGAATTTTTATTTTATTTTTTTCAAATGTTTCTCTGAAAATAGCAGCTCATATCCATGTTAATTCTTTGTTTATTTTCAGGTAACAAGATTCGTCTTTGGAATAAGGGTGTTGATTCCGAAAGCTTCCATCCCAAATATCGCTCTCAAGAAATGCGAATAAGACTAAGGTATGGCTTTCTTTCAATCCTTAAAATTTCATTGCCATGTAATATGAGTTTCCTCCAAATGTTAATATATTGTTCTTTTTTTAATCAGCAATGGGGAGCCCGAGAGACCATTGATAGTCCATGTTGGACGACTAGGAGTTGAGAAGAGTTTGGATTTACTCAAAAGGTACTGCTATTTTATTTCAAATGATAAGTATTTTCTGCTTTTGCAATTTAAGAAATATTACTTGCAAAATATTGACGGAATAATGCTTTTTTCATAATTATTATAAGTTGTAACCATTGACATTTGGGATGTATGATTGAACA